CAGATTTCTCGTGGAAGTGGATGCACCCGAGCCGACGTTCACTGTGGCTCTAGTGCCTGGAATGATTTCATTCAGTGGAGCAGCCCCCTCAGAAGATCGTCCGGTCAAATTGGATTGAACTGGACGAATTTTGGACATGTGGCGTGTGGCCGCGGGTGAATTATCACTACTCGTGGTCTCTGGTGCACTGGTATCGACCGCAGCCATACCGACAGAATGACAGGCAAATTGTTTCGGATTGCGCAGAGTTGCGCATCGGAACGCCTCTGTCCAGCGCTGCATCCAAGGGATTGAGAGTACACGTGGAAGTACCAAAAACTGTGCGACTATTCGCAGCATTAAAAGTTTTATACTGTACTTTTTGTATATTACACGATTGCTATGCGAGAGAAAAAAAGCGCTCGTATATTCATTAAAAAAAATACACTTGTAAGAATGAAGAAAATGAGAGAGATAAAAGATGATCAATAGAGGAGCAAACTTGGATTAGGATTAGGAGTCTTCATTCAAGAAGTCTAACGTGGCTCATGTGAACACGTCTCCTAGCCAGGCTTTCCATTCCCTCATTCCCGGTCTTAGGTTGATCGCCCGTGACCTTTTTCCATTCTCTGCCTGTCTCGACAAACATCGCGGACCATAGCGATCTATTTGTTGACATGCACAACACAAGTCCCAAAAAAAGCAGTCTGTGGAGACAGACAACTTGAGTCAGTGGACGACTCATGAAAATGCATTGTTAATGGTTGCAAAAGCAGAAACTAAAACTCTGTGCCCAACCTCGGCATTGCTAGTGTGGTTACCCCACCAGGCTCGTGCAATGCGACGTAGACAGCGATGTCCGAACACCGACAGTCTATCTTAACTAAGAAGACAATTCCGATTCATTCTGGATAACGACGCATGCCCGATTTCTCTTTCGACTCTCATTTAACTTTCCTGCCACTCTCCAAACTGCTTCATCCAGAAAAAATAGCAACCAAAACCGGGCTTCGAAAGTGTATGGATAATGGTTGCACGACACATGTGAGGTATCGCCTGATCGAACAGTACTCTATTCCGCAGCCGAACGGTGGTAAATCGGGGTGGGAGAAACAGAACAGGCGCAAAATTCAATCAGAAAATGCCACCGGAGACCATATAGCAAGAGAATGAATGAAGGGATTCAAGAATGCACACCGAACGGAAACGTACTACTAATTATGAGCCCGTCAATCCCATACAGATTGGTTCGAGCTTAATGATTATTTCGGGAGACAGACACCGATTGTCTGGGCACAAACACGATGAGAAATTGGTAACGGGTTCCACTGATCAATGGACGAGTGAGATCCAAATCCACTAAACACGTACCAACCCAGATTCTATCGTTGAGGTATTACTCACATTTGTGAGTAGTACGCAAAAGGATGCGATTGGCGATTTCTGTCAACGATCAAAAATGAACAAGACCTGCTGCGATGAATTGTTGTGCTCAGTATGCTTACTACAGGAATGCGCACCGATTTCGGGACCGTGCCATTAACTGTCCTGCGTGCATGTGAGAATTCTGAAGACTGGTTCCAAATGAGACAATTTGCCGTGGATGTAAATTTACCAATACCCTGACCATTATTTAATGCAAATAACTATCCTCGTCCAGGCAGCGGCTTGTGAATTATAACACTAGGTGTCCGAGACCAAACTTAACAGCAAATTACACCAAGAAGTAGGTGTTGGAATTGAATTCATCTATTGACTTGGAGCATAAAAAATAACGGAGACCTAATACGAGGTGTTGTGTTGATTACAAATATTTCATATACGGAATGAAAACGCTATGAATAAAATCAATACACTGCATCTTTTCTGATTAATTTTCTACATCCTAATCCGCTCGTTCACGATGATCACATGCATAGAAAAAAAGATCACCTCCACTCTATAGGCTNGTTGCGGTCAAATGTCGAACTTTGTACTTTATGTAAGTCGAATCGATCAATGTCAGTGACCTATCTCACCTGGCTTCACGAATGCCTCACGAATGGGACTCAAACGTGACAAGCATTGTTCAACCTGTGCGCTTCTATATATCCACTGTCCCGTATTTCACAAATTGACGAAGTGACCTCAATATCTTGATTCCATCAAAAAAAAACGTCAGCTTTGAGGCAGACATTCCTGAAGACGGGGTTTTGTTAACCACATCCTCCCGGGTAAATTTGGGTAGGATTGAGACCTAAACAACTGATGTTAGTATTTTTCTCGTCAAGGATATTTTAGTAAGGTGAGCTCCAGTGAAAATGGCGCATAATAGAGAAATGCAACCAGTTCCAAATGGAGAAACTGCGTGATTTCGGACCCGGTCAATCTGTATTGTACGACCAAGACATCCTGACTATACTTCCAATGACACCTTCTTCCTCTCTCTCTCTCCGACCGCCCCCCCCCCTCCTCCGCAAATCAGCGGAAATCATCTGATTGCAAACTGTTCAATGATCGTCGAGAATGCGGGCAGATTTTCACTGTTCACTTCCATCAGCCGATTGTGTCTAACTTGACAGTCATACAACCACACACAGACAGACACACACACACACATGCACATTTGGTTGAAGCAGACAAGCAATTTGGCCATTATGACGTAACGCGCCTTCCGGTGGTAGGCAGCTTTTCTGTCGTCCATGCCTAACCTAGTGGGGCCTCATGCGGTTCACCCACTCCGGTCCCGGGACATATTGTGCCGGTAACCATCGCTGAACAGCAGGTCTTCGTGATCATGTGCACAGAAAAGAAGAGAAATCAATAAGGAAATTTTTCGTAAAAAAACGCTGGTCATAGGCATTTGTCGTAATTGTTTGTCTGCAACTTCACAGCTGGAAACAAAAGCGAAAATGATTCGCGCAAATATTTGTGGTCTCTAAGATGGGTTATCGGCTGAACACAGTGATAGTTATTTCACCATACCTCGAGTACACGAATGGTCATCGCTCAGGAGAGTTCTAGACAAGAAATGCGTCTTACGTATTCAAAATATAACGTGGACGAGACCATGTTACCTACGGTTTTGGATTATTCAATGATTGACCAAATCCTTACTTGGCCCGTTATCGAACTTCAACATTATGTTAACACCGCATACACAGGCACACGAACACTCACCTTTGAGTCCGACAAAGTGTCTGTATCCTCACTGGCCGAGGCCGGATCGAAAATGCACGAATCGCTTGTGGTGCGCGGTTGCATCCCGGTCGGTGAAAGTGCAGGTGAGGTAGACTGTCGCCAGGGGGAGTGTAGCAACTCGGATTGTGACTTATCTGAGGGCAAAGATCAAACAGAAAAGAGACAAAACATGGGACGTGCAGGAAGGAACAATTCGAAAATTGGATGATCATAAGTGCGAGAGGTCTGTGGAAGCTATATACAGTTAATAAGCAAACTCGTGCAACATCATGACTTTTCCCGAACCTATTTATCTCATCGCCAAACGTTTTGATCCTCATGCACGGGAATGTGCATGGTATTACCCCAGGTCACCCGCACAATTTTTATAATAGTTTTAACTTATATGGTTGCTTCTTTTAGCCGAGCGCGTTAGAAAAGTAACATTTCTCTATTTCGACTATGGTTGCTGACGCATCGGCTGTAAGATAACCGAACATCTGTGGAGGGAAATAATAAAAATTTATTCATGAACAGAATATATATCAATGACACAGATAGAGGAGTTTCATATTTTTAATAATCTGTCTGTCCTCCTTTATTTTGCAGCACTTGAGTCAGTCGTTTTGGCTTGGGGTCCACCAACTTGGAAATTAGACCACTTTTGTCAGTTTCCTCCAGTATATGCCGTACCCTGGCCCCCAACGACTACTCGCGAGGAAGGCGACTCAGTCCTGTTTTCAACAGAGAAAAAGTTTTGGATCATATGTTAGGTGGAAACTGCATGAATTCGATTTTCAAAGTAGCCATTTCACATCATGTCTAAATATAAAAAACGATATATGCCTGAGTATGAACGATTTTATGACGTATCTCACGTGAAACATAATAGGGAGGATTATCCTGTAAAAGTATGGCTTTACCGAAGACATTCCGAGAGTGAGAGTCACTGAAAACTTCCTTGATCAGTGAGACAAATTTTGCACTGTCCAGTGTACCATGTACAGGAGCCCAACGAAAAGATACACCGCATTTAATCCCAACCCAGATCATCAGGCGAGAAGGATATTTGATTTTAGTAAGCGGAGGAATGGATTTCTTTGGAAAACTAGATCCACAGATCACCTTTTTCCACCTGGTATCTTGCTCGTCAACCACCGGACATTCGTCAGTGAAATAAACGCCAAAAGGACAGGCAACGTGATTTGAATTCGTTGGCAAAATTAATACGCGCCTTCCTTTGTTTGGCGTTCAGTGGTGGCTTCACATCAGCTGATCTCAGCTGTAGATCGAATTTAGCCATCGTTTTCCTAACGATGGGATACAAAAAATTCCGGTAAATCTGCCCGCACCATACTGGATATTCGTTTCTTACAATTTCTTTTGAGCTGCAACTTTATGTAGTCGTTCTCCTGCTTCGATGTGGTCGGTGTTCTTCCTCCACACGGACGTCTCAATGGAGAAATTCCGTGAGTAATACGGAAAATTGTGCTTCTGTTCATACTGAAGCATTCGCACAGATCAGCAACTGAAATGCCGGATTCATAAGCTATTTTAATGCGTTCCCTCTCTTCTTCACTTGTGTATCGGAAACTCTTGGATTTATCATCCGGTTTGGACATGGTGACAACACAAAATGAGTATTTGACATGCTGCACACCTCAGGGTCATTGCTTGAAGGTTAAATTTCACGTTCCATGAAATATTTTTTACTTCCTTCCTGATGCGGTTGCAGTTTGCAGCCACATACATTTTCGAATAAATTTTGATGATATATCATAACTTACCTGTATAATTACTTTGAATTGTATAGAAAAAGATATGCTACTTAAATTACACGGATGGAGCAGAATAAACATTCTCATGGAACAATATTCATTGGTTA